ATTGTAAGAATATGACAAACCATTTTCAAGTATTTCTGCCATTTACGACTGCCATGTTCTCAATACTTTCCAGTGTTTGGCAGTGCCAATCATTTTAATGGGTGTGGAAAGGTGTCTCACCGTTTTAATAATTTGTGTTTCTTCTATGGCTGATGTTGAAATTCCTTCTTGGCCATTTTATAACTTATTTTGTGAATTATTTCTGTTCAGGTATACTGCTATTTTTATTGGGCTGTTGTATAATGGGTTTAAGTTTTTATTATTTTCAGGAGACAAATCTCTTGTCAGATACCTATTGTAAATATTTCTTCCCATTCTATGCCTCTCCTTTTCATTTTCCTAATGGTGTTTAAAAGGGCAAGAGCTTTTATATTTGAAAAGTTCAACTTATTCTTTTATAATTCATTCCTTTTGTGTCCTAAGAAATTTCTTCCTATATACCTGGTACAGTTTAAATGGTAGTTCTGAAATATTCTGAAGTTATTTTATTGATTTTTTTTCAGTTTTTCATTTCTTCAACTTAATAAATTATGTCTTGCTAGAAAACTTCATTTATTCTAGGTAGTATTCTCTTCTGATCCTGTTTTTTCAAGATCTGATTCCTTTTACTCATTAAGGGTCATCGATAATTTTGCAGTTTATCTTATTCAAGATTGTGTGGAGAATCTAGTTTAAATAAACAATTTTAAAAAAATATTTTATAATATATAGGAGAAAATGAACTATTTTATACATTTGATGTCTGAAAAAATTTAGGTATACTTTGAGTATAAGATAAACCTAAAATACAATGATTCATGCAAAATATATTTATTTATTTTTTAAAGAGAGAGGAAAGAGAGAGGGGGGAGGGGGAGGGAGGGAGGGAGAGAGGGAGAGAGGGAGGGAGAGAGAGAAAGAGAGAGAGAGAGAGAGAGAATATTTTTTAATATTTATTTTTCAGTTTTCGGTGGACAAAACATCTTTTATTTTATGTGGTGCTAAGGATCGAACCCAGCACCCGGTGCATGCCAGGTGAGTGCGTTACCGCTTAAGCCACATCCCCAGCCCAAAATATATTTTTATAACATAATTAAAGTCTGGACTGGCAGTCAGTTGCTGCTAGTGTTGAACAGATAATACATGACCCAGTGTCTCTGTGATTCTTTTGGTCTTTACCAGTGTTTGAAAGAAGGTAGTCCATACAGCAGGAACCATGTAACTAACCATCAGGAAGAACAGTAGAACTGATGGCAGCAGTTACATTTGTCCCTTTTCTTGGGAAAGCAAAGGTTTTCCCGGGACACACCCACTAGTGTTTTGCTTCTCTTGGCTTGAGGCAAGTCACTCAGCTACTCCCAGCCTCAAAAGATGATAAAGAAGTCAGTAGAGATAGGAGCACTAAAATTGCATGTTGGTTTAGCAGACTGTGTCTGACACTGTGAAAGTGTCCATTCATGTCCAAGAAAACAATCATTTTTTTCAAAAGACATAAAAGGTACACAAATTATACAGACCACTTTATAATCTGACTTAAATTAGTAAACATGAATTCTATTTCTCGTGTTTTTTGCTTCTACCGGAAGACTTTGCTTCTGTAGGAACTCGTTGACTTTCCCCTGGAGGATTTCCCACTGTTGTCTATTCCCCAAGCTGCTCTCCAGCATGACTACTCTGATATGTAAGGAAGGGGGACTTGTGAATGCAACCCTATTCACAGTCAGTACAGACAGCCAGCCACTCTGCCCTATGAACTATCCGATTTATAATTAAGTGTTGGTTGGAGTGCACATCTCCTATACTTACTGAATTCACAGCATGAGGTTCCTCTCTGAAACATTAAAAGGCACGTTTATTAAAAACTTTATAAATTGTAAAACTTTTAAAAATAGTTTTGCTGTCACCACAGAGGAGCTCCAGTGCATGCTGGTGTGAAGAGGCCTGGTCACCACAGGACCCCCAGGGGAGGCCAGCCCTGTGTGCTTGCACTCACCTCAGTTCTACTTCAGAGCCAGCTGTCCTGTCCACTCACGGGTTTCCATCATTCCCTCCACAGGGATGCAAGGAGCCCCACAAAAGGAAGCCTTCCTTTCTCCTGGAGACTAATACTGTGTTGACAAAAGGCAAAGTAGCTTTTTTTTTTTTTTTTTTTGTCCTGCCCACTCCCCAAGTTGGGGGTGTAGAATTTTATGTTTTAAACTATGCCTGAGCATAAAAAAGGTTGAGAATCACAATCTCAGTAATCCTATTAAATTAATTCTTGAAATTCTTATTTTAAAATCCCAGGGCTCTAGGGCCAGTCTCCATTAACATCATTTTCAAATAATGATGCAAAGGAAAATCATAGTATTAAAGAAGACATCTGAGGGCTGAAGCAGTGGCTCAGCGGTAGAGCGCTCCCCTAGCACTTGAGAGGTGCTGGGTTCCATCCTCAGCACCACAGAAAAATAGAAACAAATAAAAATAAAGGTATTGTGTCCAACTACAACTAAAAATATTTTAAAAAGAAAACACCTGAGAAGTTTCAGTTAATCTTCTCCTACTGTTGAAGTTTGGAAGCTATCATAATAAAACTGATACCAACACAGGTAACATTCTCTTCTATGTCACAACTTTAAAAAGTCCTTAACAAGAAAAAAGGAATATTGTAAACTAGAACATTTTCATTTTTAAGTAAGTAATTTTGGTAATTTAAAAATATATTTAGCTAGGCATGATAGCTAAGAGACCCTGTCTCAAGAAATTAAAAAAAGGGTCCAGATGTAACTCAGTGGAAAGGTGCCCCTGGTTTCAATCCCTTTTAGAAAAAGGATTGATTATTTATTTATTTATTTATTTATTTATGTATTTATTGACTCCAAACTCCTTACATAGAAGCAGCCAACTGAAATTTTCTGCCAATGGCAGAGTAAGTGGTACATATCACTGTTCCCCCACCCCCTTTTTTTTTTTGGTACCAGGGATTTAACTCAGGGGCACTTGACCACTGAGCCACATCCCCAGCACTATTTTGTTTTTTATTTAGAGACAGGTCTCACTGAGTTGCTTAGTGCTCCACCATTGCTGAGGCTGGCTTTGAACTCATGATCCTCCTGCTTAACTCCTATGGGTGCGTGCCGTAGAGCCCAGCTCACTACTCCCTTTTGAGAACTAAAAATACATGGAAGAAAATACTAAACATACTTAATTTCTGAAAATTAGTAGAGCTACAAAACAGTGAGAAATTGCAAAAATAAAATTAGAGATAAGACATACTATCTGGAATTTGGGATTGTTTATTATGGAAAGGTTTTAGCCAATTCTTTTAGTAAATACTGGGCAAGAGAGGCTGGAGAGACTTTTGACAAATTCATGAAAACAAAGACAAATACTTGAATTCAGATCCTTCCAAGGAAGAAGGTCCTAATAAACTTCCCACAGTTTTAAGTCCTAAAAGTATATCCTAGAAATAAGGGAGAAAAAAAAAAACACAAACTGTTAGAGAGACTAAGGCCAGTTTTAAATTATCTCAACACATGATTGGATGAAGGCAGGTAGTAATTGCTAATATCCCTAGCTCAGTCACCCTGCTAGAAGCAAAAGACAGATTCCTTCTGGAAGAAGATATCACCCAGACCATCTTATCTCTATAATTTTAGTATACAGAATCTGACAACTGATTTAAAAAATCCCCAGATAGCCAGGCTTGATGGCACACACATGTAATCCCAGTGACTCAGGAGGCTGAGGCAGGAGGATCACAAGTTTGAGGTCAAGGTCAGCAACTTAGTGAGGCCCTAATTAACTTAATGAGACCCTGTCTCAAAATAAAAAGGGCTGGGGATGTGGCTTAGTGGTTAAGTGCCCCTGGGAGTTCAATTCCCAGAACCTAAAAAATAAAAAAATAAAAATAAACTCACCAGATATATGAGAAGACAAGACATCACCAAAACCCAAGAAAAACAACTAACAAAAATAGGTCAATAGGGGATTTAGAAAATGGGGCTACCCCTAGAAGAAGCAAGGAAATGAAGCAGATGCATAATGTGAACAGATAACAGCTAGGAATTCCCAAAATGCACATACATATGCACGCACATACATATGCACGCACATACTCGCACACACACATGAGCACGTGCACACACAAACCCCATTTACCCACATATTTTAAAAATCACTGCAAAAACCAAGCAGGATAAATATATAGGAGATCATATCTAGAGATAATGTACAACTGTTAAAAATAAAAGATAAAATTTAAAGGAAACAGAGAAAAAAGGACCAGGTACTTCAAAAGTAATTAAATTGACCACTTACTTTTCAATGGAAGACAGAACATAATTAAGTATTCCAAAATATGAATAGACAGCAAGTGCCAACTTAGAAGTCCATTCCCTCTAAAAGTCCTTCAGAAATAAAGGCAAGGGCGGGGCATACGGCCCAGTGCTTAGCATCCACAAGGCCCTAGGTTCAATCCTCAGCACCAAAGCAATTTTTTTAAAAAGCCAAAATAACGATATTTGCAACAAATAAAAACAGAATTTGTTATCTGCAAATTCACACTAAAAGAAACACTAAAGAGTGTTCAGAAACAAGAAAAAAACTGGCTCCGGGGGAGAATAAAAGAATAAAAAGAAAAAAGTAATGAAAAGGGTAAACATTTGGGTTAACTTAAATGCATATGGTTCTGAAACAAGAATGATTGACTACGGCAACTACACGCAGACTTCAGATGCACCACATGGGGATATGTAGGTGAAGAAGGGAACACCTGGAGGTCATGTTCTAACTCCTCCCCTTGAGGAGTGGTAGCGGCACTCATTTACTCTGGCCTTTAATACAGGAGTTACTACATTGTATTAATATCTGGCATAGGACATTTTAAATCAAAAAGCATCATCAGAGATAAAAAGGGACACTACTTAATGTTAAAGTTTCAATTAACTAAGAAAACCATAACAATTCTAAATTTCAATGCATGTAAAACACTTCAAAATATAAAGTAAAAATCAGTATCTCTAAAAGAGACAAATTCATAATTATTCTGGAAGATCATGATGCACTTCTTTTATTGTCTGATAAAATAAGATTAATTTGTAGAGAATGGGAAAGAATAGGAGTACTTTTCCAAATGTTTAACTATATTTTATCTCCTAAAATAACAAACTACAATTATGTCTCATGGTAACCTAGTACATAATTAATATGTAGAGAATACACTATCAAAATCGGAGAGAAAGTATTCTAGGTTTTGAAACAGATTTTTTCCTTAATTTGTCTCTTTTTCAAACAGGAATCAGTAAGAAAGTGCAGTTTTCTATGAACAAAGTTGAGGCTCCAAAGTGCTGTTATCTAAGTCTGGGTCCCTGTGCTGCTCCAGGACCCTGGCCCCAGCTGTGAAACAGTCATAGGACTGCTGCTTGCATCACTGACTGCTTCAGAGATACAGACTGGGAGCCCGTTTTAGGCCTCCTGGAAGCTACTAACAAGGCACACGCAATAACTGCTATGAACAACAACTAGTGATTTCCAAAAGGGGGGTGAGAGTTGAGTCCTTTCTTTGTATCTTTAGTATCAATTTTCACAAAAGCTTCTAATTTCTTTTCATTGCAGACCTGAATTGGTTGATTTCCATCCTGATTTTGGTGTCCTTTGGGGACTAAGACAATGAAAAATTTTCTCGCCACTCTACTCCTTATGAAATATTTTTTTGGACAATATTAAAGTTTTGCTACCCAGGGCATGAGAAATTCAACAGCTCTGAGTTTAGACAGCTGCTTATCAAAAAAAGTGAAATGAGAAAGATTGTAAGCCACCTTTTCTTTTTTTTTTTTTTCCTTTGTTTTTGTGGACACAGGATCTTGCTATGTTGCCCAGGCTGGACCCAAACTCCTGGGCTCAAGCGATCCTCCCATCTGATCCTTCTTCTTCAGCCTCCCAAGTAGCTGGGATTAGAGGCATGCACCATGCCTCTGGCTTCATCTTCACTGTGATTTTCAGGGGCCTGACAATCTGTCCAGTAACCAAGCCTGGCCACAGTACATTGTGTAAACACTTCCTCCAAAGTATCTTCCTGGACGTGTCGTGGACATCCACTATGTGAAGCAGATATCCATAATTCTGACTAGACAGAGGCAGTGGGTGGGTCTTGGTCACCTCCTGCTTCTTGGTCAAGCTGTGGCCTCTTGTTTATTCGTACCCCCACACCATGATTGCGGCACTGGGCACTCCACCTCCCCAGCGTCAGACTTCTGAGGTACACTGTGTTGACTTGTGAGCTGCACGTTCCAGTGAAAGGCCTTCCCAAAGTCACTGCGTTTGTAGGGTTTCTGTTTACTATGAATTTTCTGGTGTTTAAGAAGATTTGATCGGATGGTGAAGGCCTTTCCACATTCAGCACATACATACGGTTTTTCTCCTGTATGGGTTCGATGATGCTCATGGAGTTGTGACTTCTTAATGAAAGACTTCCCACAGTCGCTGCACCCATAGGGCTTCTCTCCTGTGTGAATTCTCCTGTGTCTATTTAAGTGTGACTTCTGGATGAAGGACTTCCCACATTCAGTACAAACATAGGGTTTCTCTCCAGTGTGAATTCTCTGGTGCATAATTAGTGTTGACTTTCTGGCAAAGGCTTTCCCACATTCGCTGCACTCGTAATGTCTTTCTCCAGTGTGGGACTGCTGATGTATGTGGAGGCCTGACTTTCGAGTGAAGGCTTTTCCACAGTCACTACATTTATAGGGTTTCTCTCCGGTGTGAATTTTCTGGTGTGTGAAGAGATTGGACCTGTCAGTGAAGGCCTTTCCACATTCAGCACACCTGTAGGGCTTCTCTCCTGTGTGAATCTGCTGATGCACGTGGAGCTGTGATTTCTTGGTGAAGGATTTCCCACAATCGCTGCATTCATAGGGTTTCTCTCCAGTGTGGATTCTTTCATGTGTGATAAAATGGGATTTGTGGAAGAAGGCCTTCCCACACTCACTGCACACATAGGGCTTCTCTCCTCTGTGAATCCTCTGGTGCATACTTAGTGTGGACTTCTGAATGAAGGCTTTCCCGCACTCACGACACTGGTAATGTCTCTCGCCAGTATGGCATTTCTGATGGATTCTGAGCCGTGACTTCCAGGTGAATGATTTTCCACAGTCATTGCATTTATAAGGTTTTTCTCCAGTGTGAATTTTTTGGTGTTTAATGAGATTGGACCTGTCAGTAAAGGCTTTCCCACATTCAGTACATATGTAGGGTCTCTCCCCAGTATGAATTTTCTGGTGTATAATGAGATTTGTCTTGTGAGTGAAGACCTTGCCACATTGTGAACATATAAAAGGATTTTCTCCTGTGTGAATTCGCTGATGCACATGGAGCTGTGATTTTTTTATAAAGGATTTCCCACAGTTGCTGCATTCATAGGGCTTCTCTCCAGTATGAATTCTTTCATGTGTGATAAAATGGGATTTCCGGATAAAGGCTTTCCCACACTCAGCACATACATAGGGTTTTTCTCCTGTGTGAATTTTCTGATGCATACTTAGTGTGGATTTCCTTGTGAAGGCTTTTCCACAGTCAGTACATTCAAAGTGTTTCCCTCCAGTATGATTTTTTTTAATTATGCTGAGGTTTGAATTCTGTGAGAAGCTTTTCACACATTCACTGAATTCATAGGGTTTTTCTCCAGGATGGTCTCTCTGGCGTCTGAACTGATCAGACTTCTGGATAAAGGCTCTTCTGTATTCACTGAATTTATAGTAATTTTCCTCATTACGAGTTTTCTGGTGACTTGACTTCCCAAATTCCATACACTTATAGGGCTCCTCTCCTGCAGAAACTCTGCAAGGAGTAGCAAGTGGGGGCTTCTGGGTGAAGACTGTCTCACATTTACTACACTCATGCTGTTTTTCTCCAGCATAAATCCTCTGATGTGTAAAGAGGTGGGAATTCTCAGTGAAAACTTTCACATAGTCAGAAAACAAAGGGAGATTTTCCACAGCATGACTTTTCAGATGTGGAGTGAGAGCTTGCTTATGACCCCCACGTTCCCGACAATGCTTACCTCCACAAGCACTCCCTTCCGTATGAGAACCGGTATGAGTAACAGCATCCTCACCATGATTTTCTGTTGCATTGTTTCTATTATGATTATATAAGCTTGCAACGAGCTTCAGATTCTTTCCAAAGGCATCACCACGATGGAATCCTTTTCGTGAAGGAATCAGATGTGTGTTTATGTGCCCAATTTTCCCAGCGTCCTGGTATCCACAGCTCCTTGAATCAGCTAGTGCTGCCCTGTCCCTGAAGACAACGTGACGTAAAGGCGTGGCCTGGTTTTCTTCACATCTCCCCCTTTGCTTCCACAATTCTTCTAAAAGGGAATAGGGGTTATCTCCTGTGAAGAGATCAACTCTCTCACACTGGAAAGAAAATTCCTCAGACAGTCTCTGTTGTGAAGTCTCAAAACCAATATCCCCATCTGAAAAGAAAGAAAAGATTAAACTGACACAGAGAACAACTGATACCTTGAGTTAATTCAGGATGAACACAGAGAAATGGGACACTCGCTCTATAAACATAATAAATACACATAATATGTAAAGATATATAAATATATAGGTACAATACTCTCTATGTAATATAAATACAATAACATACAGTAATAAAATTAAGACATTACATTTACCTTAGGATAAGCAAGAGCATTTGGAGGTGCTGTTCTAAGTTCTATATAAACTTTATTTCAACCCTTTGGTTTTATTACAATACCTTTGGTATTGTTATCCCCATTTTACAGACAAGGAAAGTGAGCCACAGAAAAGCTTAATAACTGCCCAAATCAAATGATTAGTAATTGGGAAGGAAGAGATTCAAATCAAGCAAAGGGAGAACGAGGAAGGCGCCAGAAGAACAAAATGTAAACCCTGTGGCTTAAAAGAACTTTTTTGGTTTTGTTTTCTTTTTGATGCTGGGGATAAAACTAGGTCCATGTGCATGCTAAGACCATGAAGGGTACTCTGCTCTAAGAGCTAATCTCTAACCTCCCCACAACTCTGGGGAGGCTCTGTTTTCATTTAACTTAAAAGTGAACAAATGAATACTCTCAGTCACTCATATTTATACTTAAATTTACTTAGATGTATACATTAGCATATGCATACTGCACCAAAGCTGAAACTTTATAAGGATTCCACCCATTATCTTCTCTTTCTAATTACTATCTCTGGCCCTATGAATTGATTCTAGAAGAAAAAAATTAAAATTCTTTTGAAATAGAGCAAAACAACCTTTTCTGCCTAGAGATTAAATTCAATTTTACTAAGTATTTTCTATATAAACAATTTTTTTAGAAGTATAGTGGTAAAAGGCTTGGTTATCATATCATTTAATGTAGCTTTTCTCTGAATTTCTATGGACTGGAGAATTAGAGGAGGGAGAAAGCAGGTAGGTATGTTGTATGAGATCTGATTCAAGGAGCAAGAGAAATCTGCACAAAAAATATGAGTGTGTGCATAATTTGAAAAGGCAGAGAAATGAGAAAACAATGCAGGGGAACATTAAAGAAAATGTTAAAATGGAACAGACATGGTTTTAGAAACTACACAGAGACAAATGTGCATTACAAATTGAGGCCATGTTATTTCTTTCACTTACAAACCCATTAAGAAAAGAATGTGTCATAATTTAGATAATAATGAGTGACTTCAGTTTTGCTCCATATAACTAGGACAAGATAAACAAAATGTATAGTGATTTAAGTAATAAATCTGTCAGTCACATCTAAAGTGAAGTAGGGGGCTGGGGATGTGGCTCAAGCAGTAGCGCGCTCGCCTGGCATGCGTGCCACCCGGGTTCGATCCTCAGCACCACATACAAACAAAGATGTTGTGTCCGCCGAAAACTAAAAATAAATATTAAAAATTCTCTCTCTCTTAAAAAAATATTAAAAAAAAAATAAAGTGAAGTAGGAAAAAAAATGAAATCAACATATTCAAATAAGATTAGAATAATCCAGGCATGAGAAAACATAAGTATGGCTTTAGGTGATACCAGGAGGAAGTAAGAAGAGGGCATCTAAATGATCTTTTCTAAGAGAAAAATTAGCAGAAAAGCAGAAGGAATTGTTTGAGAAGGTAGATCAGAGGGAAAAGCAAAAACCCACGTAGAACAGGGGAAGATTTTGAGGTCAGCCACTTGCTTGTAGTCTGCTGCACAGGGACTTGTCTGCCTTTCTTCAGGCAGCCACGGAGGGACCCACCCTCGTACACAAAAGGCATCTGTATTCCTGGGCCCTGCATAAATGGGGCCAAGGCCTGGCTAAGACACACAGTGGTCACAGAGTGACAGTCATTCCTGTGAGCCGAGCATCAGTCCCAGCTGGAACCCGGACACACGATTCAATGTAAAACACACAAATAGTTCAAGCCAAGACACATGACCAAGGGCAAATTTAAGGAAGGGCCTAACTCTTTACATCTGTTCCTAAATAACAACTGCAACCTCCACCTCAGGTTGGTTATGTACACGGCAGAGGCAAAGTGCAGACAGTGGAGCTGTTGGGAAGAGGAGAAAGGCCCTTGGTGGTGGTCCCTGTCCGAACTGCCTGCTTACTGCCTCAGTGTTAAGGCACCTGCAGGGGAGAACTGGCCCAGCCCAGGTCTGGTTCAGATGTCAAGAGTGATGGTGGAATACAAAAGCTAAGTGGGTAGGAAATGGCTTGTTCATGCAAAGAGGCTCTGGGGAGAGCTCCAAGCAGGTCCAAAGTGGCCTGGGGTTTTCTGCTGGTTGGAGGTAGGGCTGGCTGCCTGGCCTTGTATGTTCCCAAAGGAAGGAAAACCTGAACTTGCTTATCAGTTTGTCCAGATGTGGGGCAGATGGGGAAGAGACAGAGGGAAGGCTTGGAAGATGTCAGTAGTCAAACATCAAAAACAGAGTCTACGACAAGATGCAGCTGAATGTTCCACACATTCTGTTATTAAAGAAACACAAAACAATAATTAGAAGTTGAAATCCAAATTACTGGAGATGCATGTAATACTAAATATAGGCAGAGATATGGGGAAACTAATACCCTTGTGTAATGTTCAGGGGATTGTAGGAGTCAATCCAGAAAACAGTGCAATTATACTAAGTCATATTAAGTATTAGTATAGTCCATGTCAAAGCAATCCTACCACTCCTGAGAAATTCTCATTTCCAATATGAATAGTGCTTGAAGAAATTTATTACAATACTGTTTGTAGTAGTAAAATGTGGTATATTTATCTGTACTAAGCGTGCTATGCAGCAGTTGGAAGCAATTAACCTAGAAAATATCGAAACATGCCAATTTAAAGAAAGAGAGACAGAAGGAAAGGGGGCAGGGAAAGAAACTGACCATTTCTATAAACTAAAAATACCAATAATTTAGATTTTACAAAACCCCCACAAATTCTAGGACAGATAGCACACATATTAAAGCAGTTGCCCTTGAGAAGGAACAATGAGTATGGAGAATGGGGATTAAAAGGAATAAGTAAGAGGGGCCTTGAAACACATTGATGAGGACACTGACCACAAACTAAGGTTATAATTAACTCAATCTCCTGAACATGAGGTACAAAAGCCTCTGGTAAAATATCCAAATTAGAAAGATCGAGTCAGTGTTGTGTTGCACTAGCCAGGCAGGAAGAAAGTGACCAGGATGCCCTCGAAGTCAGCAGTGAAGAAGAGCACAGGTTATCAAATAAGCCATCCAGGTGACAATGCTGAAACACAAAGGAAAAGACACCAGGGAACAGGACTGTGACCCATGGTGACTTTTTAAAAGAAGGCAGATCTATGGGAGTTTAAATGCCTAAGAAAAGGAACTAAGCCCTGGCTGGAGGTAGAAGGAGCAGAAGTTCTCTATGGAGAGAGAACAAAGGGCAAGAGGGCATGATCCTAGATGATGCTGGGTGAGATCCCACCCAAGGCACTGCCAACCAGCACAGGCCCTCCTCAGAGGTCCTGGCACTGGTATGGGAAGAGGCCGTGAGGGGGACAGCATTTCCATTTCCAAGGGGATGACATCAGCTCCATCAAGCAGTTCTGAAAACTCAAAAGGTAAGCAGAAAAGTCACATTAATGGCACGAAACAGAAGCTCTCCCAGCACGACTGCAGGTGGGCTGAACCATGGTCCATGCTCCTGGCTCCCACTCACCCGCACAGTGCTGACCGGAGGCCTCCTCATCCCACACGCGTGGCTCTGCTTGCTCCAGGTTGAAGATGACTTCTGGTTTGGGAACTGGACAGCCTGTCAACAGGAAATGATAGAGAATGTGTTTCAGAGGCCACATGATAAAGTACGCCATGTGATTTTCAAAAATGTCTACTGGGAACAGAGGTATATTCACAGTACCCAAAAGAGATTCTTAAGAACACGGGACAAAACAAAGACAGAACCATTACATATTTCAGATGCCCTGCAGTCTTTGGGAGTTGCAGAGACTTAAGAAAACCCACAGATTTCAGAAATTCGTCTAGGAAAGAAAAAGAGTACCCTGGGTGCAGCCTGCTCTGCACGCGCAGGGCTGTGCTCACCCACTGAGATCAGGTTGAAATAGTTCTCCAGCATCACATCCCTGTACAGGCTTCTCTGGGCAAGGTCCAGGTGCTGCCACTCCTCCCCACTGAACTCCACGGTTACATCCTTGAAAGACACTGGTCCCTGTAAGAACCAATTCCTATTCAATGTGAAGGGTCAAGACTGCACCATGGGAACAAGATATTTAGGACCTTATTTTTAATTTGATTTATTAGGTTATAATATATAAGTTCCTACTAAACACCTATATTTTATTTTGTTGTTTTGACTAAAAAAAAGAAATCTTTTTAAAAGTATCCTGCTGGTTCTTTTGCAGTAATGATAATAATAATAATCTTTTTTTTTAGTTGTAGATAGACACAATACCTTTACCTTATTTATTTATTTTTATGTGGTGTTGAGGATTGAACCAGTGCATGCTACGCAAGCACTCTATTATTGAGCCACAACCCCAGCCCAATAATCTTTTTCAAAAACCTGTATGCTGGTTACATAGAAATAAGCTGTGAAAATTCATCAATCTTCAAACTTCTCTATGTATGCCATATTCCAATAATAGTTCACTTATTGCCACACACTTTGCATTCAACGATCCACTAAGCCAGTTTTTTCTTTAAAAAAGAAAATTAAAATAAGGCTCTTCTTTCAAAATAGCGTGGTACTAGCATCGGGATAAACATACAGACCACTAGAATACAACTCAAAATCCATAAGTAAACCCTTCAAATTGTTGTTAATTACTATTTGCTAAGAGTGTCAAAACAAATTGCTTTTGAGACATGGTCTTGTTTGTTGCCCAGGCTGGTCTGAAACCTATAGGCTCAAGCAAGCCTCGTGCCTCAGCCTCCCACATAGCTGGGACTAAGAAGCACACACCACCGTGCCTGGCCAAGGGTCAATTTATAAAGGAAAGAACAGACTCTTCAACAAATGGTGCTGGGACAAGTGGAGATCCATGTTATAAAGTTGAACCCTCCTTCACACCACAGTAAAATGTTACCTCAAAATGGATCGGAAGTCTAAATGTTTTTACATTTAGAAAAAAAAAACTTACATTTTAGCTAAAAGGGGTAAATCTTTATGACATTGAATGTGGCAATGGTTTCTTAATATGAGACCCCCAAAGCACAAGCACCCAAAGGAAAAAACAGATAAAATTAAAACTTGTGTGTCAAGTGACACAGTCATGTGAGCAAAAGACTCATAGACCGGGGGAATTTTTTTTCAAATCATATATTTGATAGGGATTTGTATCTAAAATATACAAAGAACATTTACAACCTAATAAAAGACAACCCAATTAAAAAATGGGCAAATGATCCAGTGATACATTTCTCCAATGAAGACATACAAACAGCCAATGAGCACATGAAAAAGGTCCTCGGCATCATGAGTCATCAAGGAAACAGAATCAAAATTACAAAGAGACATCCCTGTGAATTCACTAAGAAAACTGTAATGAAAATAGTTCAATATCACTAGTTATTAGAGAAGTGCAGTCACTAGGGTGTGTATAATAAAAAAGATAATGACAAGTGTTGGTAAGGAAGAGAAGCTGGATCCCTCCTACAGTGCAGGTAGGAGTAAAAACTGGTGTGGTCACTTTGTAATGCAGTCTGACAATTCTTCAAAATATTAAACACAGAGTTACAATACAACACAGAAATTCTATTTGTAGGTACACACCCAAGAGAAATGAGAACATTTATCTATACAAAGCTTGCATATGAATGCTCATAATAGCCAAAAGTGGAAACAACACGAATGTCTTCCAAACAATAAAGAGATAACAAACACGTGGTCTATCCATATAATATAAAAACATTCAGTCATGGGCTGGGGTTGTGGCTCAGTGGCAGAGCTCTTGCCTAACATGTGAGGCAGTGGGTTCAATTCTCAGCACCACAGATAAATAAATGAATAAAATAAAGGTTCAATCTAAAAAAAATTAAAAAAAAACATTCAGTCATAAAACATACTGAAGTATTGATACATGCTATAATGTGGATGAATCGTGAAAATATTGTGTTAAATAAAAAAAGCCAGTCACAAAAAATGATATGTTATATGATTTCATTAATATGAAATTCCAGAATAAGCAAATCTATTGAGATAGTGAATAGACTAGTGGTTGACTTCAGCTAGGGGAAATGGAGGAATATGAGGGTCTTAGCTAAAACTATGAGATTTTTAGGGTGAGTAAAGAAAATGTTCTAAAGTTGATTCTAAAGATGGTTGCACAACTCAGTATGTGCAGCCCATGCATGAAACAAATTAGAATAATCACTGAAGAAGTCATGAGCTAAACGCTCATTTCATCAGAGTCCTAGAAGGAAGGAAAAGGAATGGGATGGGGAAATGCAAAAATATTTGAAGAAATAATAGTTGAAAACTTTCCAGATTTTTTTTTTTAAAAAGGTCTAAATCTACAGATTCCAGAAGCTGAGCAAGTTTCAAACAGGAAGGGATCAAATAAATCCAAGCCCAGACAGGGTGTGAGATACTGCCCAGATCTCAAGTTGGCCTCTGAACAGCACTAAAGACAGACAGACCTGATAAGAGCAAGGACTTTGAAAACTAAATTGGCATCAGAACTATAGCCCTTGGAAACAGACCAGGACATACCCTCTGAACCTAAACAGGCTGACTACCTGCTAAAACAGAAAATTTAAAGACAAAACCATGTCTCATAAATAATAATCGGAATGTCCTGAATAAATTCAAAATTATTTATATATCAAAACCAAAAAAAATCTCAGATCAAATGAGAAATGACTATCAACAGATGCTAACACTGAGATGAATGAGCTGTTGGGATTACTTGGCAAGGATTTAAAGAAGCTAACACAAAAATACTCTAACAAGCAGTTGCAAATACTCTTGAAATAAATGGAAATATAGAAACTCTCAGCAAAGAAATAGAAGATACTAAAAAGAACCAGAGACTGAGAAGTGTAGCTCAGTGCTTAGATAGCACATGTGAGGCATGAAGCCCTGGGTTGACTGATCCTTAGCAACACACACACACACACACACACATACACACACACATACACACACAGAAAGAAAAGAAAAATTTAAAACTGAAATTTAAGACTTCAATGATTTCAACAGCAGAATGAACATACAAAGGAAAGAATCAACTGTCCTGAAGACAGATCAAGAGATGTTAACTAATCTGAACAAAAGAAATAAAATATATGGAAAAATCAAACATAGCCTAAGGGACCCATACAATAATGTAGCAGATCTAACGCTCATTTCATCAGAGTCCTAGAAGGAAGGAAAAGGAATGGGATGGGGAAGTGCAAAAAATATTTGAAGAAATAATAGTTGAAAACTTTCCAGATTTAAAAAAAAAAAGGTATAAATCTACAGATTCCAGAAGCTGAGCAAGTCTCAAACAGGAAGGGATCAAATAAATCCATGCCCAGACACATTACAATGAAATGTTTGAAAATCATATTCAAGAAAAGAATCTGAAAGCAGCCAGAGGGTAATTATATGTTATCTGTAGGGAAATAGCAGTTTGAATGAAAGATGGTTTCTCATAGACTACAGAATCAAAAGGAAGTGGCACAATAGTTTCCAGTTGCTAAAGGGAAAGAACTGTTGATGTAGAACTCAATATCCAGTGAAAATAAAATAGGAACTGTTTATGTTCTGTAGAGGGAAGAACGCCACACAGAGAGAGGAAAGATGGCTATGTGACAATAGAAACAGTAGGAGAACACCAAGAACACAAGGATTTCCAGCAACCACTGGAAGAAGAAGAGAGAGCATACCCTACCAATACCTTGATTTTGGACTTCCAGCCTTCAGAACTGTGAAAGAATAAATCCCTATTGTTTTAAGCCACCTTGTTTATGAAGTTTGTTATGATGGCCCTAGGGCACTAATACAAATATATAACATACAAATATTAAATGAAAGCAGAAATGGCTATATCCATATTAAATAAAATAGACTTTGGAGGAAAGAAAATTATCAGGGATGTTACATAATATCTTAATTAGCTCAGGCTGCTATAACAAAATACTACAGACCGGAAGGATTAAATAATAAATATTTATCTCTCATAGTTCTGGAAGCTAGAAGTCCAAGATTAAAGCGCTCAAAGATTCTGTGACTGGGGAGAGCCCACTTCCTGGTTTGCAGATGGCCTCCTTCTTGTTGTATATTCTTATGGCAAAGGGAAAATGAGCTCTGGTCTCTTTCTCTTATTACAAGGGTACTGATTCCACATGGGGTTCTACCCTCATAACCTTATCTAAATCTAATTACCTCCCAAAGGCTGTATATCCTGAGACTATTATATTGGGGGTTAGGGTTCCAACCTATGAGTGCTTGCAAGACACAAACATTCAGACCATAATATAGTTATAAATGGGTCAATTCAGTAAGAAGACAAAACAATCTTAAATATGTATGCACCAAACAATAAAGCTGCAAAACTCAGGGAGCAACAACAATTGGTGGTACTAAAAGGAGAAACAGGCTAATCCATAGTTGCAGTTGAAGACTTCACCCCTCTCTCAACATTTTTCAGAATAACTAAACAAATCTTAGTGAATGCAGTCATACAGAGTATATTCTCTGTACACAGTGAATTCAAACTAGAAATCAGTAGCAGAAAGAACACAGGAAAATCTCCAAACATTTGGAAACTAAACAACACATATCTAAATAATGCATGAGTCAAAAAGGAAGTCTTAGGCAAATACAAAAATTACACTGAAGTGAATAAAAATTTAAAGTATTCAAATTTTGGGGATACAACTAAAGCAGTGGTGAGAAGAAAATCCATAGCGATAAGGCTTACATGAGAAACTTCTCAAATCAATACTGAGATGCCACCTAAAGAAACTAGAGAAAAATATCAAAACCCAAAGCAAACTGGGGTTGAGGGGTGGCAGATAATACAGATAAAAGCAGGAATCAATAAGATTGAAAAGATAAAAATATAATGAAAATCAATAAATTTTTTGAAGATTCTATGAAAAGATCATTTATTGGTATTTATAAAGGAAATATTACTGCTATGAACTGAGCTGTGTCCTCCAAAATTTCATGTTGACAGCCTAAGCTAACATGACTTGGAGACAGGGCTTTTAAGAGGTAATTAAGATTAGATGAGGTCACACAGGTGGGGTGGGATCCTGCTCTGGGAAGACAGGTGGTATTAGGCAGAGAGCCCTGAACTCATCTACCACAGATGTCACCAGGAGAGCCCACCAAGACTCTGCCAGGATGAAGGGCTTCCTCTTCCTCCCACTCAACTTCAGCCTCCTAGTTTTAACTCAGATATAAACTGGAGTCTTGGGACACATGACTACCATCAGACCACCCCCCCAAACCCAACAAAAGTGGGGCCCCAGCTCTCAGCAACATGGATGGTGGCAGTTTCCTTTTCTTCTTGGCCAACACCCTTATCTATCTCTTCTACCCCAGCTGAGGTGACAGTGCCACTTCTAGCTCTATGCCCCCTGAAACAACTGTCACCATCACAGGATGGGCTGATGCCAGAGATCCAAGTGGTGAAAATTCTGGCAGTGGCAAAGATGAGGAGGTACTGATGTGAAGGGCAAGCTGGGCTCAGTAAGGTTATTCTTGTCTATGGAAAAAAAAAGTAGAATCCAACAACCAAACAAAAAAAGTAAAAATCAACCTGATGGCTTTAAAGAAGAGTTCTCTTTCTCCCTACAGGTGAGCATGCACTGAGGAAGGCCACGTGTGCACTGTCAGAAACCAGCCATTTTCGAATTAAGAGCACCCTCCCCAGAACTTGACCACGCTGACACCCTGAACTCCCACTTCCAACCTCCAAAACTGTGAGAAAACAAAAGTTCTGGTTTTTGATCCACCCAATCTGTGGTTTAATGTTAAGGCAGCCAGAGTAGACTAACACAACTACAAACAACTTTACACACAGAAATGTGACAACTTAAAGGAATCAATGCCTAAAAAATACAAACCTCAATAATAAACAAATAATAATGAAATTGAGTTTGCAATTTTAAAATTTCCATAAAAGAAATCTGTAGACCTAGATGATTTCTCTGGAGAATTCTACCAAATACTTAGAGGATGAACATGAATTCCACCCAATGTGTTGCAGAAAACAGAAGGGAATTATTTTCTGATTAATTCTATGATGTATTACCTAATATTAAAAACTGGACACACAGTAGAAAAAAAGTAAACACAAATTATACACAATCTCTGGCAGAGTAATCAATATAAAGGAACACATTCCAATTCATTTCAGAGGCCATTATTACTCTAATATCAAAACCAAAACTGGTAGAGGGAGTGGGGGAGAGAAAGGCAGAGAGAAGTAAGAGCAATCTCTCTCATACACATGATGCAAAGATCTTTAACAAAATACTGATTAAATACAACATATAAAAAGAAATCTATATCATGACAAAATAGGATTTATTCCAAAAATGATAGGTTGGTTCAATATTACAAAACTAATCAAAGTAGTCTACCATATCAACAGTTTAAAGAAGTGAAATCACATGATCATGTCAACTGATGCAGAAAAAGCATTTGCATAATCCAACACCTATTCATGATAAAAACTTAAGTCTGCTTCAAAGGGTGGTCCTTGGAAAGGAAGCCCTGACATTCTTTGGGACTGTGAGTAATGCAAACTGTATTCCATCCCAGAACCAGAACCTGAATTAATGTGCAAGTCAAGCATGGGAAGCACTGCTCAACCAACAGGGAAAACCTGCCAGGGCACTGTGAACAAGGTCACCACTGAGACACCGCTCAGCCACCACTCACCTGAAAATCCATCAAAAACTTTCACAAATATCAAGAGTGAGGAAACTGATATTACTGACAAATCACCTGTCAATAATACAAACCATGCATCCATTTCCATTATCTTTACGTCAGGAAGATCAGAAACAATTTTATAGTTCAAGTTCATAACTGTGTGAGAATGCATAAAGCGATATTCCAAACTTGAATTAGAACTGGTAGTCTCCTCTTCATTTTCTCTTGGCTTGGGTTCTATCTATCCATACCTGTCCATCTTCCACACAGTGTGTTAGATGACTCCTAAAATTCACTAGGAAAATTTTTTAAAAAACAAATAAATAGATGAACAGACAAGAACTCACCAGGGACTTGCTCATCTTGGGCTCTTCTAGAGAAGGGGCAGAGATCTGAGAAAACAGATGGGCAGAGGTATAGATGAGAGTAGGAAGCATGCCATTGTCACACATGGATACATGTGTCATTTAGCACTTTTGCATCTACAATCCCAAAATTTACTTTTAGGATTACATCATTAAAAAAAAAAAAAAAAACACCCAATATTGCACAAAGGTGGGAATTTCACAACAACATGGCCAATAACAAAGAAAAGCTACAAACCCTGACAATAACCGTAGATTAATTAAACACTTTATAGGACATAATGTTACATAAAATTGAAATACAATAGAATAGTATGTTAAAATGCTGAGTAAATATAAAAAGATGTACCAAATAGGCTGGGCGTGGTGGCACACACCTATAATCCCAGCAGCTCAGGAGGCTGAGGCAGGAGGATTGCGAGTTCAAAGCCAGCCTTAGCAAAGGTGATGTGTGAAGCAACTCAGTGAGACCCTGTCTCGAAATAAAATACAAAACAGGGCTGGGGATGTGGCTCAGTGGTCGAGTGCCAGAGTTCAATCCCCAGTACTTCCCCCCCTAAAAAAGACATACCAAATAGTATGATTCTACTTTCATTGTACTGTGTTTACTCATGTGTACGTACACATTCATACATATATGCATGCACAAATGTATTTATGTACATAGGCTATTATATGGAAACAAATATACTAACATGTTAACATATAATATCTGGGTGATGGTAAATGTATAGGTGATTTCAACAACTTTTTTATTGTCAGTAAACAACAAAATAACTGTTTTAAAGAATAAATATTTTATAGTTCAAATTCAAAACTGTGTGAAAATACATAAAGCGATATTCCAAACTTGACTTAGAACTGGTAGTCTCCTCTTCATTTTCTCTTAGCTTGGATTCTATCTATCCATACCTGACCATCTTCCATACAGTGTTAGATGACTCCTAAAATTGATAATTTTACTCTGAGCTTCTGTTAATTACCCCAAGAAGTGAGAATATCCACAAGAAATACCAGAAAGGGAGCTTCTTAACTTTTTTACTGCTTTCCCTTACATATAGTTCTTCGGAGAGAGCTTTCAGTAGAAACTTTGTTTTGGCTACAGCACAGTAAGGGGATCAAGTTCTAGTTAATAATGAGCCATAAGACCTGAGCCAAGTCACCAACTGACTGTGGCCATTGTTCCCCAACTCTTTTTATGAGTTTTCCAACATAAAGAAAAGTTGAATGATTAGATTACAAGGATATACCCTCCACCTTGTTTCAATAATTAGCAGTTTGCCAAATTTATTTCATCTTTCCAAACATACACATATTCATATACACATATATGTGTATTTTAAATATGCGTCTGAAGGATGGCAAAGTAAGAATTCCAAAACATGCTATTTTGATATAAAGATTGTTGTGAGCTAAGAACACCTGAAAATTTGCAGATGCAAGAAGAGCACTCAAATTCGCCACTTCTCTTCTTTAAAATAGAAGATGAACGCCCGGTGTGGAAGATGCCCACACTGAAACTGAGAGGAGAAGCGCTGTTGATGGGAAGCCGTGGCCAAGGGAATTCTGTACCGACCTTGTTACAATCACTCTCTTCCTTTAGCCTCCCCACAGCATTCAGTCCCTTTCCCCCCTGCCTCTCGGTCCACCTAACATAAAAGCATGAGGTTTTGTCCCTTCATTGGTCTTCATTTCTTTACGAGGTTCCCAGGTCACATGTGACTTATATGAAATTGGTATGCTTTTCTATTAATCTGTTTAAGGTCAATTTAACTTTCAGGCCCAACCTCTACCTTCCCCCCACCAAAAAAAAAAAAAAAAAAAAAAAAACCCTAAGAGAGAAGAGGTAAAATTGTGCTTTATTTCTATACTTTGCTTTTGTTGAACAATTTGAAAGTTGCAGATGTGACATTTCAGGTCTAAACACATCACATAAATCTTAAAAATCATTATCATGCCCTCAGAAAAGTAATAGTAATTCTGTAATATCATGCTAATATGGGCTCATATTCAAAATTTCCCGTGCTGGGTTGTGGCTCAGCGGTAGTGCACTCGCCTAGCATGTGTGAGGCACTGGGTTCGATCCTCAGCACCACATAAAGTAAAATAAAGACATTGTGTCCACCTGTAACTAAAAAATAAATAAATATTTTTTAAAAATTTCCCAATTATCCCCTAACACATGCTTTTATCGATTCTTTGGGAGCAGGCTCCAAAGAGTGGGGCTGGGGATGTGGCTCAGTGGTAGACCTCTTATAGCATGTATGGGGCCCTGGGCTCTATCCCCACTATCACCAAAAAAAAAAAAAGCCATCCATTGGCTACTGTGTCCCCTTTACCCTAGCTCCATTCTTTCAATATTTTTCCCTGACTTTGCTAATTTTTACATAAATATTAGGTATATAGCTTGATGCATTTTCTATATTTCCCACACCTGTGCATCTACCACTCAGATCAAGATTTCTGGAACCTTTGGAAAATGTTGGGTATCAAATTATTATTTTTCAAATCTATAAATAGAGGAAGAAAAAGGCATTTCTGCTGCCTTTCCTAAACAGCTTAAATTTTGGGTAACTCAACACTGATGAAGGAATTCCTGTCTCTATATTTATACCAGCTAAGAACTAAAAGCAATGGCAGAAATGGAATCTGTCCATTTTGCACCCCTAAAGCAATAGCGGATCTAGGAAATGATCAGCAATGGATGCTCACATCATAAAAAGTGATGAGCAGACACGTCTCACAATGGAGACACACAATACTAACTGGAAGCCACCTTGCCAAAAAGGTAACAAAAAGGGAACCTAATCCAATCAAACTTCTAAATCTACTATTTTGAATCAAATCTCAGCATTGTGTCCTCTCATCTACAAATAAACTTAAATTTGGCCTGAAGCTGCCCCCCTGAAGCTGGTCTGAAGGAAGTTAGATCGTAGTCTCTACACAGCAGACTACGACCTAACTTAGTGTGCAAACAAACCAAAGCCTAACTTAAGAGTGTAAGAGACAGGCAGGGGGCACACCTGTAATCCCAGCGACTGGGAAGGCAGAGGCTGGAGGATCACAGGTTCAAGGCCAGCCTGGGCAACTGTCTCAAAATAAAAAATAAAAAGGACTGGGGACAGGGGCTGGGGATATACAGCACTCAGTTGGTAGAGTGCTTACCTCACAAGCACAAGGCCCTGGGTTCTATCTCCAGCACCACAAAAAGAAAAACGGAGACTGGGAATGTAACCCAGTGGTAGAGTGCCCTGGATTCAATCCCCAGTACTGGGAGGGAAAAAAAAAAAAAAAGAGTATAACTGCCAAGTTTCAATCACAAGCAGCCAACATATCACATCATACCAAATAAGACAGACATCTAGCTGTAACCAGTCAGGTGATGGCTCAACTTTGGTTCCGTGTCCTACCAGCCAATAAAAGCTCAGATCTCCCACTACTGGGCAGAGCTTTCTGAATTCCTTCTGGTTCTGAGTGCTGCCTGATTCATGAATCATTCCTTGCCCAAATAAGCTCTGCTAAATTTAATTTGTCTATAACTTTTCTTTAACACTACCTACCAACACACATAAAACGATACTTTAAAACACACTGTGATTTTTTTAATGTTATAACAGTACTATTTTTTAAAGCAGTTATCTTTAGATTTACACACCAAAATATGTGTAGATGAGAGAACACAATGCTGAGATTTGATTCAAAATAATCCCGCAGAGAAAGAAAAACATGAGGGAAGGGAGGGTGCAGATGACATAGTCAGGTATGAGCTGCTGATCATGGAAGCTGGTTGAAGACTACAGATGGGTTTACTCTACAACTCACTTCACTTTTGTATCTTTGAAATTCTCACGGTAAAAAGTTTAAAAAGTCACTTTTTAGATGGTAAGGGGAATTTGACTATGGATGATTGTGGGAGACCAACCTTACATGTGACTGGTTACATTCCCTGGCTGGGTGCTGAGGCGCTCAGTTGCAGAAATGTGGCAGAGCTCTCCCCACCCTTCTTGGGTCCGAGGTGTCTCGTGCATGGGTGTGTCTTGCTACAGCCCCAAGGGTGAAGCTATGCTCACCTGTCCCTTTTAAGAGAGCGAGAGCAGGCGCTGACCCCTTTTATTGAGGAGAAGCTATTCAAATGAGGCAAGGGATCCGGTTTCAGGGGGCTGAGTCTATCTTCATGATGTCCACTGTCAGCAGGTTGACTGACACCTGGGTAGGCCACACCCAAGGGCACAGTAAGAGAAGGGGACACAAAAAGGCACATCCATGGAAGATTCTATCCTAAACAGGGCAGGGGGTTATATTACAAAGGAACAGGTGAGCATAGCTCTGCCACATTTCTGCAACTGAGCGCCTCAGCACCCAGCCAGGGAGTGTACTCAGTCACGTGTAAGGTTGGTCTCCCACAGCCGCCCAATGGTGAGCCCTGCTGACTCTCATGATCCTTACCCACCAATCAGAAAGCGCCCCCTCCCTCTATAAATGTGCAATGCTGTTCCTCAATAAATGGGTACCTCTCCTATGACGAGCTTTGTCCGCTCGTTCTTTCATAAACCCTCTGAGCCACATCCCCAGCACCTACCCCTGCTTTTTTCCCTCTATTTTTCATTTTGAAACAGAGTCTTGCTAAATTGCTTAGGGCATCACTAAGTTGCTGAGGCTGGCTTTGAACTTGCAATCCTCCTACCTCAGACTCCCAAGCTGCTGTGATTACAGGGGTGCACCACCACTCCTGGCCCATTAGTCAGTCTTTCCCACACATTTACACACACACACACACACACACACAGAGGAAGCCAATGAATGAACAAATCTGGGAAAACTCCTAAATGCTAAAGATACAGCACATATGAAAGAACGGATTATTTAAACAGAAAGAATAAAGAAAATCAAAAGACTCCTAATCTTCAGTAATGAGTGCTAAATGATTTGGGAAATAGTACATAAAAAAACCACTCTTCTGTTAAGGCCAGAGAGGTACATTTTCAGAAATGAAAACATTGGCTGAACATCTCCATCTTTATCTGGAGGAAAATACTGAAGGGAATATTACAAATAAAAGTAAAACAAATCAGGAGGGAGAAATCTCAAACAGGAAAATATAATTCAGCAACAATTTTTACACAAGATATGTAATTATAAAAAAGGACAATGTAAAGATGTGATAAGGAGGCAACTAAAGAGAAAATTAATAATATCCTACAACAAACATTCCTAATTATCTGAGGAAGAAATAGAAGTTACATGGGGTGTAAGTGGAAACAATGAATAGAAATTTCATCAATCCAACGAGATTATTAAGATGAAAAGAAAAAGCACAAAATAAGAATAGAATTAAAATAGCCAGGTGTGGTGGTGCACATCTGTAATACCAGCAGCTTGGGAGGCTGAGACAGGAGGATCTTGAGTTCAAAGTCAGCCTCAACAACAGCAAGGAACTTAGCAACTCAGTGAGACCCTGTCTCTAAATAAAAAACAAAACAGGGCTGGGGATGTGGCTCAATGTTCGAGTGCCCTTGAGTTCAATCCCCAGTACCAAAAAAAAAAAAGTAGTAGTAGTTAAAATAAAGAGTAACCCTGAAAAAAGAGTAACCATAAGTTGGAAGGTATAAAATCAAGTAAATCATTACTACACTAAACTGAAGAGGTAAAATTCTCTTGCCAAGACAGAGACTAAAGGCTAGATTTTAAAAAAATAAAATCTATTATTTACAAGCAGATCACCTAAAACTAATAGGCAAATGTAAGTATAAAACAAAGCTCCAAACAAAGATATACCATCTGAATGCAATAAAAGTGAAAGCAGTGGCTACAATGTAAATATCAAAATGGAATTCAAGGTTAAGTGCTTTTCTGTTTTCAAAAAAAGAATTCTATATTAATAGCATCCAATAAATGAAAAATGATAGTTAATGCATTAACCATTAGGTTTATGTATATATGCCCCTCCCCCAGATGCAACACAAATAAAATTAGGGAAAAAGCACACAGTACTCCAAAATGATCTATCAAAGTAAGACGTTTTTATTGTATTTTTATTCCCTCCTGAATATTTTGAATCAAGTAGACCAAAATCAGGAAAGATTTGAACAATTCAACAAGACAAATTTAATAAACATAAAAGAATTTTGCCCAATACACAGAAAATCTTAATAAATTTTAAGAAGTTGAAATTTGACAGTATACAGTTCCTGAAAATACAATAAAATAAAAATAAGCAATAAAAACATCTTAACAGCTTAAGGATGAAGAAACTCTCCCAAATAGCTCAGGATAAAAGCGGAATATCAAATTGAATTTATACATTTCACAGATAGAGAAGTAATTGGAGTCGGGTGCAGAGCATGCCTGTAATTCCAGCGCCTTGGGAGGCTGAGGCAGGAGGATCCCAAGTTCAAAGCCAGCCTCAGCAAAAGCGAGTACCTAAGCAAATCAGTGAGACCCTGTCTCTAAATAAAATACAAAATAGGGCTGAGATGTGGCTCAGTGGTTGAGAGCCCGAGTTCAATCCCCGATACCAAAAAATTTTAAAAAATAAAAAATATGCCCTTGTGATGCCTGATTTTTGAAAAGAGAAGATGATATATAAACGTATTCACGGCAATGACAGGAAATGAAAGGTCACAAAACAAGGTAACTGCAAACTTACACGCCACCCCGTGGCAATGCAGTTTTCGAAGCCCTAGCAAAATAAAGACGATATGATAAGGAGACGCCCAGGTAAACACGCCGGTGTCGTCAGAGATCAGTTGGGGCCGCCGTCACCGACCCCCAGACCCGCGCGCCAGCGCCCAGCTGTCCTCCCTCGGGTCCGCCCCCACAGCCCCCGCAGCCCGCTCCCCTGGTTCACACCCACCCTCCGAGACTACCCGACCCGTTATCCAATCCGCTCCCCATCCCCATCGCAGTCCGACCCCTCATCGCGGATGCCAGCTTCACCCGGAGCACAGACGCTCCATCCCTGCACTCACCTGTCGCTCACCCGCACTCTCTTTTGCCTTGGGCGGCGACTACAGTCGCAGGAATTAAAACGCAACCCACTCCCTTTGATTCCCCCCCGCCCTGCCCTAGCAGGACTCCAGGGGCGTGGCCTGCGTGTGCGCATGCTCAGCGGAGGCTTCACGGACCGAGGTTGCCCTTAAACAACATGGCATTCTGCTAAACTAGTTCCCATTCCGGTGTGATGAAGGAGGGGCTTAACGCCAATATGGCGGCGCCCATGCTGACACTAGGGCTTGTGGGCGGCCATGTTGGCTCGATGGGCTGACCTGCCTTCCCCAAAAAATTGAGGTACACCCTCCTCTTCAGTTAGAGCACAATCAGAGCCTATCGCAAGTCACTCAATGTATGCAAAAAGACAAGAAAGAAGTATCTGAAGAAGCAAAATTTAAAAGCATCAGAACCTGACTCAGATATGGCAGAAATGTTAGATTTCTCAGATCAACAATAAATAACAATAAGCATTATGCTTAGGATTCTAGTGGAAAAACTGTGTAACATGCGAGAACAAATGGATAAAGTAAGCAGAGGGATGGAAATTCTAAGAATCAAAATGAAATACTAGAAATAAACACAGTAATATAAATAAAAAATCTCTATCAGGGCTTTATCAATAGACTGGACTCAACTGAGGAAAAAAACCAGTGACTTTAAAAATATACCACCAGAAGTTCTGAAAACTAAAATCAAAGATTTAAAACAATCAGAATTTCCAAGAACTGTGAAACAATTACAAAACATGTAAAGGAGCATAATGGGAATACCAGAAGAAGAAGAGAGAGAGAAGGGAGCAGAAGAAATATTATCTAATGAATCACCCTCCCAAATATTTTTTTAATCTCATAAAATAGAAAAAGCATTACTGAAGGGATAAATGAAGATGAAATAAAATATTTTGCTTTTTCTTATGCTTACTTAATGTAACATAAAACTTTTCTTTTAAGATCAGGAGTCACATGGGATGCTCACTCTTACCACTTCTATTCAGCATTGTACTGGGAAGTCCTACCAAGTCAAACAGACAAGAAAAAGAAATACAAAGCATCCAAGTGCAAAAGAAGAAGAAGTGAAATTTTCACTACTTCCTGACAATATGATCGTATTTATACAAAAACCTAAACACTGAGATTGGGGCTGTAGCTCAATGGTAAAGTGCTTGCCTCACATGTGTGAGGCACTGGGTTCCATCCTCAGAACCACATAAAAATAAATAAATATACTGTGTGTTCATCTACAACTAAATAAGTATTAAAAAAAAAAAACACTTTCCCAAAAGTCCAAGATAAGATATTGTCAACTTTGGTTTCTTTTAAAGTCTCTTTCCTTGGCTTACAGATAGCTGTCTTTTTGCTTTGTCCTTCTGTGGTTTTCCTTTTGTGTGTGAAAATCCCTGGTGTCTCACTTGTGTCTAAATTTCTTCTCATAAGGGCACCAGATTGGATTTTTAACTTGTTCATTTTTTGGAGGGCCCTGTCTCCAAATACAATCACATTCTGAAGCACTGGATTTGGGATTTCAACTTGTGAAGTTCGGAAGAATGTAACTGAGTTCATAACACTCTGTCCTCTGGACCCCAATATTTGTGTTCTTCTTACGCACGTTCACCCACATCTCAACAACCCAAAAATCTTAACCCATTGTAGCATCGCCTCTAACTTTAATATCTAATTTAAATATCATCTAAATGAAATGTGAATAAAACTTGAGGTATGATTCATCCTGAGACAAAATTCCTCTCCGGCTGCTAAACCATGAAACCAGGAAAATTATCTAGTTCCCAAATACAGTGGTGGAAAAAGCACACAATAGACATTCTTGTTGCAAAAAAAGAAAAAAGGGATCCCAAGAAAGACTGAAAGCTAGCAGGACAAATTTCATTAGATTTTCAGGCACTAGAATAATCCTCTTTGGTTCAACAATCTCCTGGAGATCCAAGAGACGTCAGGTGGGCATCCTGACTTTCAGGGACTAATGGGGCAGCAGTATTACCCTCACTGCCCTAGAAAGGAGTCCCACCTCCTTAGCTCTGAGTAGCAGAGTCCCCTCTGCAGCCTTGGGCAGTAGCCCTGCCCCTGTGGCACTGAATGGCAACCTGTTGTGCTGAAGCCTGGAAGATAAACCTACCCCATAAAACCATTAAGGTGAAAGCCTCATCTTTGGAATCTTTATTCTCCTTTCTCCAAGGATTACACATGTTCACAGTTTGACCATTCTATTGGCCCATCCTGTGGAAGCCTAGAGGTCCAAAAGCTTTCATTCATTTTAACCCATCTGTGTTCCATTTTCCATTCAGGTATAATCCCATCTCTATTCCCATATTCTCCTGAGATGGCATCATAGATGGATAAGTCACACCCATAATCTCTTTGTGGAGTCATTATCCACCCATTGGTATTTCCTCCAAAGTTATTCTTGCCAGGCATTTGGTCACAGCAACAAAAAGCTGACTAACGCAAAGATAGACATAAATTCTCAGCACAGTATTAGTAAACCATAAACCGTATTTGGCAATATATAAATAGAATTGTATACCACCATCAAGGAATGCCATATTGATTTCACCTCCAGATCAACTAATATAATGCACTATATCAGGAGAATAAAAAACAATCACATGATCATCTCTTAATGAATTAAAAGCATTTGAGAAAATCCAATACCCTTAAATGATGAAAACATCAAGTTAGGAATAGAAAGGAAAATCTTTTTAAAAAATTTTTATTTGTTTTAGTTAGGTATACATGACAGTAGAATGCACGTATATACTTTGATATATCATACATAGATGGTATATAATTTCTCATTTTTCTGATTATATATATTGTAGAATCACATTGGTCATATAGTCAAATACATACATAAAGTAATAATGTCTGTTTCATTCTATTATCTTAGAAAGGAAATTCTTCAACCTGAGAAAGGGTGTCCTTGGAAGAGTTCACAGTTAATATCATACTTAAAGGTGAAAGACTGATGCTTTCAACGTAAGATAAGGAATACGATGAGAGGGTCCACTCCCTCCAGCTCTAATCTGCCTCACACTGGAAGTTCTAGCTAGGAAAGTTGGTCAAGGACAAGAAGTAAGAGGCATCCAAATTAGAGAAAGAAGCAAAACTATTTCTATTTGTAGATGAATGAATGATCTATGTAAAATCAATGTTAAGAAATCTGCTAACCCTAACCCTGTACACTTGGAAAAATGAGAAATTATACCCCATTTGATTCAAATGTATGATATGTCAAGATCATTGTATTGTCATGAGCAACTAATAAAAAAAAAAGAAAAAGAAATCTGCTAAATGGGCTGAGGTTGTAGCTCAGTGGTAAAGTGCTCGCCTAGCACATGTGAGGCCCTGGGTTCAATCCTCAGTACCACATATAAATAAATAAATAAATGTAAAAAAAAAGAAATCTGCTAAAAACTTACAAAATAAAGGAGTTTAAAAAAGTCACAGTATACAAGATCAATAGTCTAAAAATCAAATATGTTGCTGTTTTCTTACATTTTACTCTATTTTGGCCAGTATGTGGGGAAATAGCTAGCATAAGTTCACAGGCCTGTCATAATATTTACACAATATAATTTAGACTATAAAACTGCAGACTTTCTGACTCAGCATCTCCAGCTCTTGGATTTTTTTCCTAAGGAAATAATTAAAATACTACGTAAATATATAGACACAAGGATAGTCATCAAACTTTTTTTCAATGAACTATAAACATGTGTCACAGGATGCAAGAAAAACACCTTCAAAACAACCCCAGATTTCAGGCAGAAGGGGCCATGGAGAGAACCTGAGACCTGGACCTGCTGCCAGGAGGACTAGGCAAGTTATCTATAAAAGGAAAACAAGAGTCTCACTGGAGTTGGAGAGGCCTTGGCCTCTAGTACAGGTATGCCCTGATGGCAACTCACGTGGGCCTCTGGCAGCCTCTGCCGAACCTTGGCAGCGTCTCTCTGTAAAGGTGTCCCTATTACAGGTGAGCTGGCAGGGGCTTCACAGTCAGGCCTCTAGATGGGAGACATTTGGAGGTTTGCTCTGCACTGCCTGCCAGAGGCTGTGTGTCCTGAACCGACTTTGTCTCAATTCTGAGCTGGGAAAAGGAAGAACAGATTGGTGGCCAGTGAGGCCCAGACTCAGCACTAGGGGGATCATGGATGCCCCACTGCCAAGATCAGCAGGTCCTCCTGTCTTAAATCTGAGCCCATTCTTGCTTAGGACTCTTTTATGCTTCAGAATTTATTCTATTATACATATACATATCCTCCTTTGGTCTGAATGTTTGTGTCCCCCACATTTATATGTTGATCATCAATATGATGCTGTTGGGCGGTGATTAGGTTATGAAGGCAGAGCCCTCATCAGTGGATTCTCTCCTTAGAAATGAGGCCCCAGACTTCCTCACCCCTTCTACCATGTGGGGACATAGCAAGGAGGCATCATCGATGAACAAATGATACAGACCCTCACTAGACACCCAAGTCTGTTAGCACCTTGATCTTGGACTTCAGCATCCAGAACTGTGAGAAATAAGTTTTCATTGTTTATAAGTTACCTAGTTTAAGGCATTCTTTTTATAGCATCCGAAATAGCGTGTGTGTGTCTCTCTCTCTCATGTGTGCCTGTGTGTGTGTGCGCGCATGCGCGCGCACGCGCACACACACACACACACATTTTAACTAAAATTTAAACACATTTAATTCCGTAAGCAGATAGAAATGGGGTGGAAGGCAGTGCCATACCATGTTTTGGGTTCCACACTGCGTTCAAAAGAACGTGGCGTTTCCATGTCTAGGAAGATAGAGTAGATGCCTATTATTCTCTGTGTCTCCCACCAAGCACTGGACATTAATCTGTAAAACAAACACAAAGATTTAAAGGCGAAGAGAAGAAGGCAGGACATCAAAGGACCTTGCAGTCCAAGGAGTGACATGGCAGTGATTTTCTTGGGATTTCCCCCGACCCCATATAATTCTAGACTTGGAGCTAGAGAAACCAGCATCTCAGGAATGTCAACTAGCTCAGACAAAAACAAACACCTTCTTAAAGAGGCTGCTCTTGCCAAAGGCCCCCTGGGAGAGGGACA